AAAAAAAAAAAAAGAGTTGCAACATCCCGAGGTTTAAAAGCAGCGGAACTATCAGTTGTCAGGGCATATGCAGCCTTTAAATGTTAAGGCATAACTACCATTAATTAACATACAAGCTAACACTACCTTTCAGAGAATAAGCAGAAACATTACGTATCTTAATTACATGTACATTCTTCAGCACATTTTTGCTAATCCAAGATCTTATTAAAAATTAAATTAGGGAAATGATGCCATGCCATACTTAACAGACTAGTTTAGTCTGTTATACATACCTCCTGTCACTACGTGGACGGCGGCTACTAAAACGGTCAGAGTATCGCCCTCTGCCTCTACCTCTGGAACGGGCCCGTGCATGTTCAATTGTAACCCTGAAAGAAAGAAACGAGACTCCACTGTGTCTGCACACCCTTTTAAAGTCAGAAAATTAACAGAAACACTCATGCACGTATGTACGAACTATTCTAGTTTTTAGACTAAGGAGATTTGCTTGTATTCTTTGCTTTACTAAAGAAATGGGTGTCATCTACTTTTAAAAACAGCACACTTAATCAAAGTATTTTTACCTCTCGCTACAGAGCTCCTTTCCATCCAGTTCATAGACTGCATCATCTGCATCCCTTGGATCTTCAAACTCCTATTTTACAAAAAGAAAACAGCATCATCAACATTAACCTGGAAGTGACGTCTGCATACGGCTTACTTGCACAGCTCACATCAGCATTTCAACATAGAAAGAAATCCCAGTTTGGAAAAATCAGTCGCAGTTAAACTTTGGTTTAATTAGTTAATCAGGCAAGGTAGTTTCTGGGGGCAAACAAGTTTGGCAAGATTCGGTATTTACAGAAGGGGGGGGCGGGGGAAGAAGGGTACGATCTGAAAATAATTAAACACTCTACTCTCCAGCATAGATCATACTGCACTATGGTTGAAAGAGAGACATGCAACTTAACAGCCCTATCGCAGTGGATTTCTTTTCTTGAAGACCTGGGGGTATTACCTGCCCCACTGCATGCTAAACAGCTTGATGCAGAGCAGTGAACATGGAGGGAAATCAGGAAAGTCAGATATAGAATATTATTTCTTGTTATCTTGGTAAGAGTGACAAGTAAGCCACAGCTGAGCTCAACACAATGTGTGAGCCCTCTAGCAGGTGAGCGGTCTGGTAACTGTCCTTACCACAAATCCAAAGCCCCTTTTCAGATCAATGTCTCGGATGCGGCCATAGCCCTTGAAAAATCTCTCCACATCTTTCTCCCTGGCAGCAGGGTTCAGCCTCCCAATGAATACACGGCAGCCACTCATGTCTGCTTAAGTCAAATCAGCTATAAAGGAGAAAACGAGAGAGCATTGGGCAGGAGGCTCAGGCAAAGCAAGCCAAGAGCCTGATCAAGCCCCAGCAGCAGCACTGCGCCAGCCCCGCCCAGGCGGCAAAACCGCAACGCCCACTCCGCCCCCGGCTGCGCAAGCGCACAATGCCACGCCTGTGCCGCAGTCTGGAATCTCTCACGTCACCGGCCCGCCCCGCGCAGCTCAGCTCAATGGCCTCGAGCCAAGCAAAGAACGCCCCGCGCTGCGCCAATGGGAAGCGGCCAGAGCATTCGGCCCCGCCCCCTGGACGCAGGACCACGTAGCTCACACATCAACCTGCTTGGCAACAGCCTACGCATGCGTGCTACGTCCCGAGCCGGGAAGAAGCAGCCGCCATCGCGCTCAAACAAAATGGCGGCGGAAGCCGCGCCCGAAGTAAACAAGGTCGGCGGCAGCGGCCATCGCGTCCCCATCCCGCAGAGGGGGCCCGGGGCCAACACCTGCCCCACAGCAAAGCCCCCAGAGAGAAAGCCGCCGCGGCAGCA